ATAGTCTGTTTAATAGGCGCAGTTCATTGTTACAAATCGATGTGTACTGTTGTCCAGAACTGGTCCTTCGATTATTTCCATTGGGTCGCTTTCCCGAAATTGTTGATTAATTAATTGTATTCGAAGTGTGAAAGTTAAAAATTGCAACGTCACAAGGTGTGCAAGTTAAAGTATAGTTTAGTAATAACTTCAAAATTATAATTAATAATTAAACTAAAAATAATCTTTTTTTTCAAAATTTCAAAAAATTAATGATTCTATTTTTTTAATAAAAAAATTATAAATGAACTATACCTTAACTTGCACAACTTAAGAAGTCACTTTAATTATATTTTCAAAAATTATCATATCCAAATAATAAACACATTATTAAATAATAACATACACATCCAAAAAATAATCAATAATCATTTAAATAGTGTTATATTTATTATTATGTAAATATATAAAAATATTGAAATATATTAAAATATTATTTATAGTATTTTGCCAAATTTTTGAAAGTGCATAGTTCGGCGAATTTTTCACTTTCGCAAAAATTTAATAATTAATTTTAAATAAATCCGAATCAAAAAAACAACTACAGTATATATTCGATAATAGTCCAGTCTATGTTACAGTCTTATTCGATATAAGGTCAAATGATAAAAACTTGAATAATTAACAAAAAATACCACATTTTGTTTTTTGTCTCAACATAAATCCAAATTATATTTTCACCCAAAAAATATTTTTGCCATTTTTTATAAAAACTTTTGTTATTTATTATATGAAAAACATATGCTTTATTTTATTAGTGTTTATTAAAACACTAAACGTCCGTTATAAAATCAAAATATTGACAAACAACATAAACAGCATCAAAACGAACATATGAAGAGCAATATTGACAACTCTTGGTTTTCAAAATAAACATGCGTTGTTTTGTCATAATTCAACACGCTCAAACGACACGTTAATTAACATTATTTCCGTTTTAGATGAAAAACTCATTTGTTTTTAAAATAATTTTAAAATAATTTTAATTTTTTTTCAACTTAATGACAATTCAGTATATGTATTACCATTTTAATATTTTGGACTAGAAATAATTGAAATATACAGCAAAAAATTGAAAGATGTTGTTTTTGATTTTTTTCAATATTAGATAAGAGATTTCCCTCTTATTTTATGGTCTCTTATATAATAAAATCTTATATCGAATAGGCCTCTTATCGAATATTAACTGTATATAATTTATAAAAAGAGGAACTTTGTCATAGTTTAATAGTTATTAAGCAATAAAAATGAAATATACATATTATACATTTTTGATAAAATTGAGAAGTAAACCATAACCCGAAAATGCAAAAAATACTAAATGAATTACCCGAATATTATTATTTTGATCAAATAAATTGCAAATTTATCTGATCAAAATTCGGCCAGAGTGATGCACATAACCTACTGAATTGTTATTTTACAAGTGCACAAACTATTTCATTTTTTCTAAAAAAGCCGAAATAATAGATGGAAAGCTCAAATTAACATATTATGATTCGACAGACTGCATCATTTAAGCTAAAATAAACATGGAAATTATTGAACTAAACAAATATGTGGTAGCTGGTGGAAGTGTTATTGTGACTAAAAAAGCGACTGAAATTTTTTTAAGATCACACAAGCAATATTTCTTTTAACCTTACAATGGTGTTTGTGTAATTTGAATATCACTTATTTTCAATAATTGTTTTTTGGTAATTTATATTTTTTATTTTCAATATGAAATAAACCAAAATAACTCAAAACTGTAAATAAAAAAAAATATTTTTGATTTATGACCAATTTATTTGCACAATCAAAACAAACAAGAAATGGAATGTAAAGGACACATCGGTGTTCACTAAAGATGGAGTTTGTATTTAAAAAATTTATATTATTCGTTTTAATAGTAAAATATTCGTTGAATGTGGTGAAGCTATCTTCATTAAAGTTTATTACAGGAGTATGAAACATTTATAGGAAGGGGTCTTCATTACATCCAATATCTATTTTTCCCAAGAGTTAACATGTATATCGACACCTTATTCTTCTGTGTTGAATATATCTTTGATATTTCTCCCATGATATTTTTATTGTGTTGCTTGTATACGCTGTGATATGACATGTCCCGTATTTGGTGTAATTTGGTTAACAAATGATAAGACTTTAGTTTTCAATATAATTTGCAATTGTATTATTGTTTTTTTTGTTTTTCGTTTTACATGATTTTTGGAAATGATATTTGAATTACAAGGGCACCACTCAAGTTTGTCAAAAAGGGGAATGTTATTTATTTTGTTTTAATGACACCATCGTAATGTTAATATTGCGTTTTCAATATTAGCATTCGTTGGTCTTTTCGTGATTATTTTGTTTTAAAAATTATAATAATTTATTTTAATTGTTGTTGCTCACAAGATTTAATTTGACTCGTGTTTTAAATATTTTTTTTACGAAGTATTTCAATAATGCAATTTACTAGAATTATAAATATTACAATAATATTAATTATTTTCAAAATGTGAAATAATAAACCTATTAATAATTGAATAATCAAAAACATTCGTGTATTGAATGTGTTTGTATTCTTATTTTTACAATAACATCATTTTTGAAGACAATTTTCAATTTCAAGTATTTGTATTCTAATAATACCATTGTATCGCCAACATTTTCAACAAATGTGTATTGTTCTATTATGATTTGGTCACTTTTATAATGGTTACCACGAACTACAAACTTGGCTATTTTCCACGGAAATTTTAATTTTTGATTCAAAAAGCTTACTTCTCTCGTTTTTTTAATAGCTACAATTTCTTTTCTAAAGATACCTTTATACACAATACCAAACGATTCTTCACCAAGTTCTTTTTTAATTCATCTGGATCTAATTTAGAAAACGACTTAGATACTATTGAGAAACCAATAGGTTTATACACTTCCCTTTCTGTTACATATAAATTTGCAACTAACATTAAATCACTTTTGTTGTACAGAAAACTTTAACAAACAACTCGAATTCACAAACTTCTCCTTTTCGTAAAACGACAAGATTTTGAAAAGCAATTAATACCATCATCACTCGGGACTTTCCAAAATGTTCATTTTGAGCACTTGGAATGTGATATTTTGTTGCAAAATTGTAGAAGAAATAACAACACACTTCGTGTTTTTAATACTTCGTTTGAAAAACAAGAAGTGCAAATGTTGTTAGATGAACAAGTCAAACAATTACCATCACATTTTTGACATTCATTTGTGTTAATTGTGTAATACCCATGTACTACAAATTTGAGAAGAATGGCACTCAAATTAATGCGTTTACTTCCTCAACTTCTTGTGACACTTTGAAAGATTCAAATGAAAACCTAATGACTGGTAAAGTGTCTGCTATAATATCATTGCCGAAGCATGCTGTTATTATGTATAACTATGGCTCTCTTGTTAACTGTTCAAGTGAAAATATCAATATGGCGACTCAGTACATCTTTGATAAATGCTTTGAAAAAGACGGAAAGTATTATAAAGTAAAAGTTAGGATCAGTGAATTGACAAAACGCGAATATGACAACTCGGCGTGCTATGGAAAATTTAATATTGTGTGGTAAATTTATATGGACAAGTGTGCGACTAATAGTAACAAAGAAAATGTCAGAATCACACGAAATACCAGTTGAGTCTTTATTATAAGTATTTATTATACACTGAAAAAGACCATCCAGCTCTTTTTATTTAAAATTTGACAAATGCACTTTTCTTAAAAAAGAGGGCTTTGACACTTTTAAATTGACTTAAAACGACAGGAATATTGTCTTCAAAAAAGGTATGACTTGTTCGCAAATTGATACAGATGGCTTGGAATGGTACACACAACCGTATTTGGTTACAGAGAATATACCAAATGACTACAGTATTATAGAACATTACTATAGAGATATATACTTCTGCACATTCTTTAGTACTGTTCAAGACGCGGATGAAGCTCATAGAATTTATTTTAAAGGGTGTGTAAAAACGTCAGAGACAACTACAGTGTTAACGGTCGTTGAAAGTGGCAAAGTGAATATTAAAAATTACACAATTAGTTCGATGTGCATAGAACCTTTTATTGAGAAAAATGGCGACTGATGAATGCGTGTTGGACGATCAAGAATATTTTAAGCAGTTTGATATGAACACAGACTCACTTAATCATTTTCATGATATTAATTCAAGTCCTAAGCCAGATAACGATAGTACATCTCAAGTGTTGATATTGTTGTTTTGCACTTTGGTTGTGATGATGATTTAAATACAATTAAGTTGGAATTAATTTCATGTTGTATTTTTAATGAAATTATTTTATTAAGTAACATATTAATTAAACCACACTAATTTTTATACTTTGTTATTTTCGATATAAAAATAAACAAATAATTTAAATATATTATATATAATTAGAGTTTAACAGGAAGTTAATATTGAGTAATTTATAACATAAAGTTATTT